TGAAGTATGCGGCCCATAATCATGTTAAGAACACCCGGAGAGCTCCGCTTTGTTTAGTAGATCGACTTGCAGGCGAGCTAACCTGGGTACCAGAGGTTTTTTCTTTGTCGTCACACATCTTTGTCCGAAGACCGAAGCCACGACCGGCAAAGACACGAGAGAAAAAAACTCGGGTCATTACAAAAACTTTATCATAATCCATAGGGTATCGGCGAGTAATGTTTCACGGAGAAAAATGCGTTTTTCTGTCAGTTATCTAGAATATCAGAAAATATTTTTTTGCTTTATTTTATTTTATTTTATTAGCTTCGCCAACATAATATAAAATTGATACATTCAATCATGCAGGTAATCAAACAAAGTAACAAAGAAAAAGGGGCAGAGATTCCGCATTAGCGTGCGCCAAGTTACTGCGGGCCCAGAAAATTAAAAATATAAGAATAGCCCAGTAAAGATACATAATCACAAAATTAAAAGCAACACGGGGCAGGCTGTCGAAACTACGACAGTTATTACATTTAAGACAGACAGACTTAAAAATGCGGGGATTTTCACAGTAATTAATACTCTACTATTGCCTGTTTAAAATCATTCAGGGCGTTCATGCGCAGGTTCAGTTCATTAGCAACAACGTTCCAGACGCGTATACATCTGCATGATGATATAGAACTTTTGATAATTAAGTTGCTGTCTCACATTTAGGCTCTACGAAGATTTAAGTCTATCCATGTAAGAAATTGTGCAGGAAAAAGGCAATTTAAGAGTATATTTAGTGGCATGTCTCTGTGTCCTTTTACTTATTAGGCGAAAAAAAATTGTGTTCACTGCGGGGGTTTCATTATGAAAATGGCCCTGATTATAAAATAACAATATAACAGTTTCCCACGTGACCTTGTTTCCCTTCAATTTTCTTCATACCTCGCATTTGGTCAGTTCGTCCGTCCTATCAGTTTTAGTTTCGTTGTAGGTAATTTTGGCTTGCGTGTCACCTGCCAAGCGAACCGTCAATAATTGACCGTATGATATAGAAAGTGCGGAAGGTCGAATTAAACCACTTTTGTCAGACTTTATGAACTCAACAGGCTCTCTAAAATTGAAATTTATTCAAAACCGGTCAATATCGATATCACTTTCTGTCTGCCTCACATTTCGGCAAAGAATACCGTTGTCGGCATAAGAAAGCCTTGGCATCATGAACGTGACAGCAACCACAATCGAAGTCTTCGCCCAGCAATTGAAAAGCCGAACAACTGTGGTTCAAATGGTAGAATCCTTTTTCCTGTTAATGATCAACCTTGTCTCCTTCGTTGGAAATCTATTGCTTGGAATCGCGGTCATCAAAAACCCGAATCTTCGAAGAACTATTCCCAACATGTACATTATATCTTTGGCTGTTTCCGACTTCTTAATGTCATTGTTGGGAATTCCGTTTTCAGTAGCTTCTCTCATCACAGGAAAATGGCCGTTCAATAATTTCACTTGCCAGTTTCAAGGATTCTGGATCCTTTTCATGTGCGCTGTGTCTTTGCAGACTCTAGCCGTCACCGCTGTGAACAGATATTTCCGAGTTGTTCGTTCCCGCGGGTTGTATCAGAAAATTTTCAATATGAAGACAACAAAAATAACAATTGCAATTCTGTGGATCGTGGCTCTCTTTGCGCCTCTTCCGTATGTTGTTGCTGGCCACGAGTTTTTCTTTCACGCAGGAAAAGTATTTTGCGCTCATAACGCGGAATCGTTGTATGAAGGCTACGGAGCTTATTTGGTTCTCGTTTATATAGCCATTCCTTTAATCATCATTTTAACTTGTTATACAAGAGTTTTCATCGCAGTGCGAAAACACAACTTAAACTTTCGCCCCCGAATTCGCTTTAATGGCAAGAGCGGAAGGAACTCCTCGAACAACAGCTGCCTTTCGGTTGAAGAAGTAAACGTCACATATATTCTGCTGGTTGTTGTCATAGGTTTTCTATCCTGCTGGACACCTGTTTTAGTCATTGATATGATCGATTTTGTAAACGGAGATTGGAAGCTAAAGCGACCAGTCTATGTGAGCTACACCTGTCTTGGCTTTGCCAGCACTTCACTCAACCCCATCATATACGGAGTCATGAATCGAACCTTTCGTTCGGAATACTTGAAGATTTTTGCGGTTTTTAAAAGTTGGAATTTTAGTACAACGTCAACAAATTCGGACTATGGAAATGGGCCAGTGCGAGCAGATGATGGTCCTAAAAATAACAACACAACTCAGCTTTAGAGAAAGACGGCCTTTACTTATTCTAATCAGGTCGAGCGTGAGAATCGAAAAGTATATCAGAACTTCCTGTATTATCATCTATTAATAACTCCAGTCTAGTCTGAGGAAAAATAAGCAAACCGAAGGGCAATATAGTAGACTAATATTATTCTTGAGCGCAATATTCACAGCGGTGCAGGAAGTTCCTTTTCGAAAGAAGTATATGCACTGCTTCATCCTGTTGAAACGGCTGGCTGGTACTTCCCAAAAAGAGTCTCTCATTTTTGGTTGGTTTGAAGGGTTTGATAAGCCCCCTCCATCCCCCTCCTCACTAGTGAACTTACACATTATATTAGGACAGTAAAGGAAAGAAAACGGAAAACCTTGTGTGACACTCTGACAAAAATTCAGTGTTTGAAAAACATTCCCTAAACTTTACCTTCCTTCAAACAGATCTTTTTTTCCAAAGACCAGAACACGGTAATGTTAAGTAATTATATCACGACAAAACACGCAAGTAATAGCCCTGTCGCGTTTGTCACACCCAAAGTTGCCGTTCTCTTCTTTCTGCCGTCATTGGGGTAAGCTTACTTAGTAAATCCAACGGCCCTGCTCCCTATACCGTAACGGATGGTACCACGATCTGGGCAATCTATCGTGTACCAAACGCCAGTAGCACTGACAAGCCATGATTAACCGTTATTCCTCTACCGCGGAGGAGCTGTCTATCGTTGAAATCATTACCAATTTAAGTTGGGAGCCTTTGACCAAGCGTAGAGAAGCCCACGTCGTTTTCCTTGTTAAAAAAACTATGCATCAAAAACGGTATGCCTAGTTATCTCCAGAATTACTTTGCACTACGCAACTTAAATTTTCGGGCTACAACACAACGGCCTCGCACCGAATTATTTGTCCTCGAAATTAATTCAGCGGAGTGATGTGATTACTTCTTACAATTTGCGCGATTCTGATAATAAGCTTGCAATACCATTGCCACGTACTAACCATTGCAAAAATAGCTTTGCCTTTAGTGGTGCAGTCCTCTGGAAGAGTCTACCCTCAACTGTTAGGCAAGCAACATCTCTGACTAATTTCCGACGATTCTTAATTAATTCCGACACGGCATTCATGTAAAGCAGGTTTTAATTTAGTTTACTTTTCTTTAATAGTTAGCAATATTTCAAATTATAGAAGATTAACCTGTATACATCGTTTCGTATTAAGTTGTAGCTTTATATTAAATTGTTAATGCATGATGTATTTACCGTGTTTTTAAATAAAGATGATGATGATGATGATAATGAGGAGGAGGTATAAAATAATATTGTTCTGGAAAAAGTGAATCTTAAGTGTACATAGCAATCTTTCTTTTGCAAAGGAGCTCGGTTTTTAATATTAACTAATCTTGGTCATGATGTAGCAATTTCAGCATTTTTCTTTTAACTTTTTTGAAAGCATTATTGTTAGTCTTTTTATCCTTTGAACAGCAGGACATCTACATCGATGACAATTTTTTCTAAAACAGACACAGTTATCCTGTATAAGTATGCTCTTCTTATCATTGTTGTAAGAATACTAAAATAATTTTAATTATAATAAATCAGATTTTATTAAAAAATAATTAAAATAATTTATATGGAATCATTCTCTAACGAGCCTCGCCCACGGGCCTCTCATGCTGCTTAAGTTATTTGTGGGAGGAGGGGGGAGGGGGAGGGGGAAGGGGGTGGGAACGATACCCAGGGATACAATAGCACACAACACATGCAGTTTTTACGTTATGGCCCTTTTTAATTAATTTCTATCCGAGTCTAAATTTTGAAATGAACGTTCATCGCAATCATCAGACCAGTGGTGATACTATTGAAGGGAAGACAAAATAATATCATTCAAGAAAGTAACTTATTTCTCCAGGATAAATTCAGTAATTTTTAATAAAATAAATATCATTGTTAATATGTTTACGTTGGTAGGAAGAATTACTGGTACAGTGTGACGTAGTCTGTCTCGAACTCCGTCACGATTTTGAAGAAATTAACTTTTATATTAACCATTGATGTCCACTTTTTAAAAAATACATAAGGAAGTCGATCTGTCCTTTCTTACTATAGTTGAAGACAAATTCTGTAATTGACAAGCAGTAAAAAAGAGATTAAAATGAAATGACGCCGGAAATCGAGTCAGAAAGTAAATATGACGGTTGATTTTACTGAAAACTGAAAGTATTCGCTAAAAACCTAAGTGAACCTCGCAGCTGCATCCCGCAAGACAATAGCTTACGTTTTCACCAGCAGCCGGATTCTGTGATTTTATTTCCCTGTGGTATCATTATGCCTATGGGCGATGGGCCCAATCAATGAGTAATGGTGATTTATGCTCGGGCTGAAAGCTGGTTTTTATTTTAGTCTGTCAGTATCTTCATCATCATCATCTTCATCGTCATTTGAGTCCCTGAGATCAGCTGAGAAACAACGGCTCAAATTTGCCCAAAGTGAATTTTGTCAGATATTTAAGGTACGCCTTTAGTTTGCAGTTTCCTGTGCTAGAAAGGACGAAAAAGGTATTGGGGAAGAATTGAAACGGATGAGAAAGTGCCAATTACTCAAACTACTGACAAAATCTTCAAAATACCCCTCTTCAGAGTGATTGCTAATGGTATAGATACGCGTCTAAATTGATAGTTATTAACTGATAAAATTGTCCCACAGAAACTTAAACATCCTGTTGCCTAAAAATTAAAATCAAAATGCAAACATCATCGGATGTCATTCTTAATATATACATTTTTTGTATGTAATAAAGGACCTTGCCTTTGTTTTTCAGCAGAACATCAACCTGAGGTAGAAAGTCTAGCCGTGAATCGTGGCTAAGGTCATTTGCGGAGCAGGGCAATTGATCGGGAATAATTACAAAATTCCAAGTTTTTCCAAAGACTCGCCTCGGTAGTGTAAATTGAAAGTTATGTCCGGGGTATGTCAAATTCAGACTTCAAATTATAGTGGCTCTATGTTAAGTCAAACTTTGACATCGATTGAAAACTTTGCATGGGAGCTTAAATACCGCTCCAACGCTACTCGAGCAATTGAATCTGGGTTTTTGTTTTTGATCAACTTCGTCTCATTTGCTGGAAATCTTTTGCATGGAATCGCGGTCATCAAAAACCCGAATCTTCGAAGAACTGTTCCTAACATGTACATTATAACTTTGGCTGTTTCCGACTTCCTATTTTCATTAATGGGAACTCCCTTTTCAGTAGCTTCTCTTATGACAGGAAAATGGCCGTTTAACAACTTTATTTGTCAGCTACAAGGACTCTGGATTCTTCTGTTGTGCGCCGTGTCTTTGCAGACTTTAGCCGTCACCGCTTTGAACAGATATTTCCGAGTTGTTCGTTCCCGCGTGTTGTATCAAAAAATTTTCAACATGAAGACAACAAAGGTGACAATCGCAATTCTGTGGATCATAGCTCTCTTTGCGCCTCTTCCGTATGTTGTTGCAGGGCACGACTTTTTCTTCCACTCTGGAAAAGCCTTTTGCACATATGATGCGGAATCGTTGCATGAAGGCTACGGAGTTTACTTGGTTCTCGTTTATATAGCTATTCCCTTAATCATCATTACAATCTGTTATACAAGAGTTTTCATCGCGGTCCGCCGACATAATCTTGTAGTTTTTCGGCAAAGAATTCGTCCTTTAAACCGACAATTAAACTTTGGTCCCGAAAATCCGAGATTGTCTGTCGAGGAGGTTAAAGTGACGAACATCCTGCTAGTTGTGGTGGTAGCTTTTTTAAGCTGCTGGACTCCCGTCTTAGTCATTGATTTGGTCGATTTTATAACCGGAGATTGGAAGCTCAAGCGACCAGTCTATGTAAGCTACACCTGTTTTGGCTTCGCTAGTACAGCTCTCAATCCCATCATATACGGAATCATGAATCGCACGTTTCGTACGGAATATTTGAAGATTTTTTCCTCCTTAAAGAGGTTCGTTCTCGGGTCAAACACAAATGTTCGGATTGCTCCTGCAGTGATCGTGATTGCTTGAGCTGAAATCAGAGGGGCTAGTAATCACTTTTATGGCAAAAAGCGAAGTCGAAGCGAGGGGAAAGCGGCAGAAATGGTCGGCATACTTTTATAAATGTATCCGATGACAACAAGTTACAACATAATTCGACTGAAATAAAAGGTACTTGCCAAGTTTGCTTGAAGATAAAAACACTCTTCAAACGGCAAATGGTAACCGCGTGGTGATCGTTTCCTCTATAGAGCAGCGCTCTCATTTTGTCGACGCGGAAGAACTTCGGTTGACTCACCTACTCTTGTAATAGTGTCAGTCTATGGTCCTCTGACACAGAAAACACAAACTAAAATGAGCCAGAATGATGCATCAGTCTTACTTCAACCCTATAAATGAAGCACTTAATTCAGTAAAAATTACATTCCTGACCTATCAAGGTTTTCATTACATGTCACCTAGAACCACATTAATACGCGCTAAAAAAATCGGCTCGGCACGTCAAATTTTTGGCACCGTACGGACGATTTTAAGACACGGCACTCCCAATTTTCGACGTGTAAACGTATCGGTCCCAAATGTAATGTGGCACCAGCGCTCAAAATTTTAGGGGTGTTGAAACTACCTCCCGGACGTAGTCTAGTCTCGGCACGGGTAAACGAGGCACGGTGCCAAAAATTTGGCGTGCCGTGCCGATTTTTTTTAGCGCGTGTAAATGGGGTTCTAGTTACCGACCTAATACATAAAACGTAACGTTGAACCCGTTCTATAAGTGCTCCTTTTGGTCGGATCTCAATCGTCTGCCACTTGCATTTCCTATACTGAAGGTTCCATAAAAAAGAGTCTTGGTGTTAGAGACTAACTACCTACTGCAGGGGACATCCAAACGTCCTGTCTCCCCCCGGTACCTTGCATTCCCTACTCCTGCCCCTTTTTTCTTGACTTCTTTATCGATTGCGAGATATTTCCGTATTGTTGCGTAATTTCTCCCATCTTATCCCGTTACCTGCCCTTTTAGAACTCCCTAATCTCGTATCCGAGGGAGATCTAGGTACATTAAGAACTCCCACCATCCGCTCTTCCCTCCCCCCACTCTCGTCAACCCGTCTTGACCGCTTGGTGTGTTAGACTCGTACCCAGTCGCTATGTGTTTTCGGGGTGATAGAAGATTGGGGGTTAGGTTGAGGCGCGCGCGGGGTGTCATGGGAAGGGACGAAGGAAAAATAGCCAGGGTTAGCCTGCGCTAAAATAGCTAGGGTTACTAAGGTTACTAGGCCGGGTTTAGGCCGGGTTACTAGGGTTAACGCGCGCGCGCCTCAACCTAACCCCCAATCTTCTCTCATCCCGAAACCACATAAATGGCGACTGGGTACGAGTCTGGTGGTGTCTGTGACCGGACATCCCCGAGATAAATTTGCCATGGAAAATATCCATAGTACGTCAAAAGGAAGAAGAAACCGCCCCTGACATTTGACTTGGTAAATAGCTGGTTTTTTCGCTCCCAAGGCAAGAGAGCCAATCAGGCTTCTTTTAATATTTGACACCAACATGAAACCTAACAAATGTTGCTTTTTTTCGGCTTTCTTTCTAGCCTCCCACGCAGGCGTTTTCCTAAAAACGCCTGCGTGGGAGGCTACTTTCTTTCGCGCTGTTGAGAGAATGATCGATGTCAGTGATATGGCAGAATTCACGTTTTAACTTTTTACTTTCACCTTTTATAAAAGGGGAAAATTGCAGGGAAATGTTAAAGCAATTTAGGAAAGATATTTCCCCAAAAAATATGTGCTATTCCTGGCATGTAATCGAACAGTGCGGGGATGCAGTTGCACTGTAAAATGGAATCTATAAAGGTCAAAGTGAAAAAAAAACCGCTATATACCTTTACTAAATTATCAGGACTAACATCATACCAGTTGAAATATCAACTAAATTATTCATAAAGTTTGATTACCACGGCAGACTTAACCCACGTTTTATCCCCGGGGGGGGGGGATACTCGCAGAAAAATTGGGTAGGGGTGTGCGGCCCGCTTCCCAAAACCCTTACCCTATTTATGACCAAAATCTGCGATTTTCCCTACCCTATTTATGACCTAACCAAAAATTTGATACCCCTATTTATGCGGCACGTACACAAAACCGTAAACATAATTTGTGAAGGGCTTTTGTTGCTTGTATTTTCTAGCCTACAAAGCAGCCGGTGGAGAGGAAGGCAAAGCGCGGGTGGAAGGAGGGGGACATGATAAGGAAGTAGCTTCTTCTAAAAATGTGGATTCAAGACTACAGTGCAAAAATCGTTACCCTATTTATGACCAAAATGGCGGCAAAATAGCCAAAATCGATACCCAATTTATGACCAAAACGGCTGAAAAACCCTACCCCTTTGGGGCTGCACATACCTATATAGCCCATATTAGGGAGTACCCCCCCCCCCCCCC